GGCATTCCAAGAATGGATTTGAACACGGAGAAAACCCGCGAAACGCAAGATTGTCATATAGGAAACACCCGTGAAAGCCTCAAGAATATTAATGTATACGATTCCTTTAATTATTCTGCATATAAAAGTATTAAGGTAGTGATATCAAAAAGTCAATGGTTTACGAGATATTTTGTACTTTATTCTGGCATATATTGACATAAAATATTAAATACTCGTAAACTATTATTTTTTTTTGTAATCCTTAATACTTTTATGAACAGAATAATGAGATGAATGAATTGATGGAAAGAACTCAGTGAGAAATGACAATGAAATCAATGTCGAATAGACGTCAATTTGATGATTTCGATGTCGAATCAACATCCATTCGATATCGATTCTATTTTCGTTTCTCACTGGGAAATCACATAGCTGCTTATTTAAAAAATTATCATTTATACATACACATTTATTTTAAAGTAACTGTGTGTTTTTTATCCACCAATTGATTCATCTCATTATTATGTTTATAAAAGTATTAAGGTTATAAAAGAATTAATAGTTTATGAATTATTAAAAATTTTATGTTAATATATGCCAGAATAAAGTACAAAATATCTCGTAAACTATTGATTTTTTGATACGCTATTTTAATACTTTTAAATGTAAAATAATTATAGGAATCATATTTTGTAAAACAATCATTCAATTTCATTTAAAAAAGTGAAAGTGACCTTGAAATCTCCGAAGCGCCATCCATAGAAAAACTATTAATAGTATATTATATCCCCTTGATGTTGTACAACTTCAATAAATATAATATTACATATCTCTAAAAATAGGGGAAATATGTGAACAGAGTTATTGTTCCATCATGTATATATTGTATGTATATACATATATGTATATACATTTATTATATACTTTTATACTTTTATTTAAAATAAGACATACCCAGCAGATGAAATTATATCCATAGCAGAAATGTCCCAAGCCAAATTTTACCTCTCTCTGTTTTATTTGCAACATAAACTGCCAAATCTAATTGAAATAAATAATTTAATAAGCGTTAAATATATACTATAATATATACTATAATACCATTCTTGATAGTTCGGACACTTGCATAAATTTTATCAAATGGATGAGTAAATTTAAGACATTATTATAAAACGTCAATTATGTTACATTGTCGCAGATATTAAAGAGCAACCCTATCCCTTACGTTTAATGACATTTTTGTTACTTTTAGCTTGAATATGTGTCAAAATCAATACATTTTTTAGTTTCAAAGTAAAGCGTTCACATTAATGTATGAACGTAGTAAATAATAAATTAAATTTGAGTCAAATTGAATACACTTTCCAGAGTTAAGTTATGTAACTATAATTTTTAACGACATACCCGGAAAAAAATTTTTTATTAATGAATACGTATAAATATGCATAAACTTACATAAACACGCATAAATATTCATAAACATATATAATTATGTATGAAGTATGTCCATAAACGTTCATACATCCTCTTTCGTTTGTAAAATTACTTTTTAGTGTAATAGAAATAATAATAGTAATATGAAAATATAAAAAATAATGAAAAAGGTAATTTTCGTGCTATTTGTTTTAGAAAAAAATCAAGTTTGAAGAAATGTAAAAAATTACTTTCGTATAATCATATATAAAATTATGCATAATTGCGTATGAGCAATTTTTTATATATTTTTCCAAACTTGTTTTTTTCTAAAACAAACGATACGAAAATTATCCCTGTAATTATTTTTTATATTTTCACTTATTATTATTATTTCTATCACATTAAAAAGTAATTTTACAAAAGAAAGAAGGATGTATGAACATGTATGGACGTATTTCATATATAATTATACATGTTTATATGAATATTTATGCACGTTTATGTATGTTTATACATATTAATACATACTCATGCATGAAAAATTTTTTACCGGGTATTGAGTAGAAGCAAGATCGACATATAGAAATGGTTAAAAAATATATAACTAAAAATTAATGTAATAAAACACTATGAATTTCTTAATTTAACATATTATATTCTTTTATATGTATTTTTAGGATATTTGTACATATCAATACCAACTACAAAATCCTTATAAATTATTTTGAATTTTATATGCCAAAATGTATTGAGCTTATTTTTCAGAATATTCATAGTGTGATAGTAGGATACAGATCGTACGATAGTAGAATATTGACAGTACGATACTATGATAGTAGAATATTGGTAGTATGAAATAACTTTCAAAAACTCGCTTTTGTTATATAAAATAACAAATAATTATTGAAACTTTTCTGGCTTATCTTTACCTGTGGCGTTAGAATATACAAGTATTCTAAAATATACAAAAGAATAACACAATTGTTATGTAATAATACAATTTTATACACAATCATTCATTGATATTTATGTAGATATCCGGATTTTGAGCGCCAGTAAAATTAAGCATAAGAAGTTAAAATTTTAAAATAAAATTTTGTTATAGTTATTTACCTGTTCACGTAAATCCTCATCAAGGTTATAACTGGACAATTTGTGAAGAATTGCTACCGTCTCATTTATCTGAAATTATGTCAACAAAAAACGAAAGTTTGGTTAATTATATACGAGAGTCGTCTGAAAAGTTTTGAGCCTAACATAGAAACAAGTAATTTTTCGGTCAAATTCAATTTTATTTTTCCACATAATTTCCTTTTAAGTCGATACATTTTTTTCAGTGATGCTCCCACCCCTTTAATCCATTCAAATAATACTGAGCGTCTTGCTTTGCAAAATAGGCGTCTACGAATGCGATAAGCTCTCGTTCGATAAAAATTTCTGTCCTCCGAGCCAAACTTTGAGCATAGGAAACAGAAAAAGTCGCTGGGGGCCACATCTGGTGAATACGGTGGATGGTCAATTAATTCGAACCGCAATTCGTGAATTTTTGCCATAGCGACCGCCGAAGTGTGAAACGGTGCGTTATCTTGATGGAACAGCATTTACTTCTTTTTCAAATGCGGTCGTTTTTTCTCAATTTCTGCCTTCAGCTTGTCAAGCAATGATGCGTAGTACGTCCCTGTTATTGTTTTACCTTTTTCAAGATAGTCGATCAATACAATTCCATGACTGTTCCAAAAAACAGTCGCCATCACCTTTCCCACCGATAAAACAGTCTTCGCTTTCTTCGGAGCAGGTTCACCCTTCGCAGTCCACTGTTTTGATTGTTCTTTCGTTTCAGGAGTGAAGTGGTGGACCCAAGTTTCATCAACCGTTATTAGTCAATGCAAAAAATCCGACTCGTTTCGCTTAAACCGCTCCAACAGGGCCTTAGAAATGTTCATTCGAATGCGTTTTTGAGTGAGCAAGCGCGGCACCCAACGCGCGGTTAACTTACGCATGCCTAATTCTTCATTCAATATATGACAAACACGTTCTTTTGATATGCCAACAGCTTCTGCTATCTCCCTAATCTTCATTCGACGGTCGTCCATTATCATTTAATGAATTTCTTCGATGTTATCGGTGGTGGTCGCAGTTGTTGGCCGTCCCTAACGCTCATCATCAGCTAAGCTGGTACAACTACGTTTAAATTCAGCTACCCATCTTTTGACGGTGGCAAATGATGGGGCAGAGTCCCCGTAAACAGCATCCAACTTGGCTTTAATTTGCGTAGACGTATTGCC